CATATATGGTGCTGATATGAAAAAGAAGCAATTTAACCATATCCTAAAGTCCCATTGAGCACATAGATCTGCACAGACAAGATGATTTCCTATACAATGTCATAGACATTTGTTTTAAGTTATAAGTATAATGCCACAGAAAAAGTCAGTTTTATGACTTATTTTTGAAATATAAGTGTCTTATTTAAAAAAAAAACTATTTAAACCAAATATTTTTTTTAAAGAAATAGCATCCTTAGAATTTCAGACACATGTTTTTTCCAATTCATTTTGCTATTGTCTTTTCTGAGAATTAATGCATGAAACAATTTTGAACATTTTACGTATTTGAATGAATCAAGACATTTTGCCTTTAAAAGTTTGCATGGAAAGATGGCAGCTAAAGATGATAGAAACGTCTACATGTCTTCAATTGCTTTAATACATGATATTTCTCTTTGTTAGTAGAGGTCTTAAGACATACATACTATTTCACTCTGAAGGTGTTATCTGCATGAGAACTTTACATGTGAAAACACATTTTAAGTTAAAAAAAGTTTCATAATTTGAGGGAAAAATATACATAATACAGTTATTCAGAAAATTTCTTCCATAGGGCAAAAAACAGTTTTGACCAAAATATGACAGCAATTAAATAACATTAAGATAATTTTTTGTGTAATTGCTACTGAATCTGTTCTTCTTATTTTATTTTCTCTTATTTTTAAAATGGGATTTAAGAAACTAAAATAAAGCATGATTCAACTATACATTCTGATGAATTGCATTATGACATGCAAAGAAATATATTAATATAATTTAAATATATTATAAATATCCAACTTTCATTTTTTGATCCAAAGAATCCCACTTTTCCACAGTTACCACAAAATATTGTGTCTTGAAAGTCAGTTTTCAATGGAGAGAAAATAACCCAGGTTCACTAATGCTAACATAGGATGATTATTATATTAACACATAACATTTCCCTAAAAGCCTCACTTTTAATTCTAGCAAGCTTACTGTCTTTTTTTTATTTTTTGCCCATTTTGGAAAAAATTAAATACATTGATTTCAACATGCAAATACACATTTACTTTCTTATGAGTTCATCATTACTTTTTAAAACTTTTTCCATAATATAATTGATTTTTTTGTTTCTATGGGGATGTTTAAAGAAGCATAGGCTGTTTTATATAACAACATATCATTTTTCTACATTAAATAAGAAAATTTTATTTTTCATGGACGATTTCTCCAAATGTGTTATAAGCACTTAAGTAAAAATATAAGTCAGTTACATAATAGTTAAATTCTAATCTAAATGAGTGTATGAAACTCATTTAGATTAGAATTTAACTATTGTTTTCTACTTTTAAAAGTAATAACCAATACTAAGAAGAGTTTTA